GTGTCATGGCATCACCACGGCCATTATCTCCATGCCTTAAACAGGTTCCACAATTAACGACCAGCAATATTTCTGGTGATGTTTTCATCCTTTGGAGTGATGTTCACAGAGAGTTAGGAGTCCCGGAGAGACCGTGGCTAACCTGCGACAGATGAAGTTGAGATGTTGCACCCCCCAAGGTCGTAAAATAGCGCGAGTAGACATGAGGCTGATGTTCAGACTCTGTAATTAATGACACAATCACAGGCCCGCTCGTGTGTCTTGTGAGTCGCGCTCGTCGCGTCGAGCCTTATTAGGTGACGAAAGAAGGTACTCACTGAATATTTTTGTATTCTACAATATTAAATCGAGCAGTTAGTATTACTTATAGTTAATTACATCGGTTGATGAGAGGTCAAAACAGATCAACCATATGTAATAAAAAAACGATAATGTAATACAAATAATATTTCATAAGATTTGAAACAAGACTAAATATGAAACGAATACATTTCTTGAGGCACTACACAGTATTGGCTTTCAGTAAAAACTAAAAGTTGTAGGGATTTTACTGCGTTGAAAAGAAACTCGAATCGCTTCATTCACTGTGAACATGTGAAGTCCACTGTAGTACCTATTAAAGCTTCGGAATTATTATAATTGGCATTTGAAAAAGAAATGATTTCAGTAAAAATACTGCAATACATAAAAATTGCAAAGAATTCACAAAATCTATTGATGGAAATAAGGGTGAAATTAAATACGTTGGAGCATTATACATCATCGAATGAGAGTCAACACTAATTAAATAAGATAATATTGTATAAAAGCAACGGAACTGTTAGTTTCAGCACAATTTATAGGCAGTTGAAAGATCATTAATTAAAGAGCTGTCTTTGACACCCCTAACGTCGACAGCGATTTACGACCTCCACAACACGTCAATCAGTGGATAAATTATGGCCAAACGTCGGCCTGTAACGACTTCCCTAATTGCTGACTTACTGAGCACTTACAGGCAGCTAGTGTTTTCTCAGCACTAGAATCACTATAACTTATTAAACTGAACTCGAGGTTATGACCCTTGCATTTCATCAATCACCAAACGTCATCGTTTATCGTATACACTCGTTTGCCAGGCATTCAATTATGAGGCATTGCTAACTAAGTTGAGCTCAGTGAAACAAAGAAACATGGATTGTTTTGTAAAGATCCATCATGAAGATTACTTAGATACTATATGATGTATTTTTCAACATCACAAGGGCACATTTCACATCCCACTTGCTGGGGGTAATCATTCCTCAAACAAGCACAGCGCGCAAGAACTGTAAGGTCGACGTAGATAAATGCAAGCGCTTCGTGCTTGTCAAATGAAGCGTCTGCCCAAAGCTTGCAGTGAGCATTGGAAATGAAAAAAATATAACTCAGTACTCACTGCAGCGAGTGACAGAGAGCGCATTTTCTCGTCGACGAAAACGTGGTCACGGACGGACGGACAAACAGACAGACGGACGGACATGACGAGCACGCTAGCGCCTTTTTTCCATAAATGAAAAAATTTAAAAAATGCGCTAAAAACGCGAACTTGCAGATAACACGACATGCCACTTTATGTCTGTGATGCAGCAGTTACAGAGAGAGGCGCTAATAGTTCAGCTATATACTATGTTCTAGAAAATTTGTCCTGTTTCTTAATTTTTAAGAATGGTATCTTTATACACTATCAGTAATTTGTGATCGTAAGAGGAGCAGATACAGTTGCACATTAATTCGAATGTCAATGATTCGAATTAATTTTTTTTTTCGATGCATTTGCTCGAGCCGTCACTAAAGAATACGAAAAAACCGTTCAGCATAAGCAATTAAAGCCAAGTTTTCATGTCATGCTTGGTTATCTCGGCTTACCTTGAGCACCCATACTTAACCCATCTATCACACAAAACATCCGAGCAACCCCGGTTTGACTCGCTAAGGAAAATATAAAGATGAAAAGAGCTATGAAAAATAATAATAAAGCGATTACAATCCCCATGTGCAATAAGGAAGCTGGGATCCAAAGAAGAAATAATTACTTAGGCCAACTTTGACGATACTAATATTACAACAAACGGTTTCAAATTCATGATACGCAAGTAGCGCGTATGAGGCTATAGGTGCATGAAACGGATAGGTGCAGTAACGGCTAGGTGCATGTAAGTAACGGCTAGGCGCATGCATGTAACGGCTATAGGTGCATGTAGCGGCTATAGGTGCATGAATGAGAACACTAAATTGTCGTCATGATAAGACAGTAAATAGTAGGCGAGCTTTCTCTCACCTAAGCGAGTGCCACTGCACCTGACAAGTGCCTGCCACGGCCTGATAAAGCTGGCAGATCTTGAGCCCTTGAGTGGTGTTTTGCTGAGGATGATGCAGGACAAGAGGAGTCCCTCATGAGTAACGAGTGCATGAATGTGCCAGAGGAGCTGATGCCGTGTTGTGTTCACGCTCAAGGAGAGTATCACATGAAGAGATACTCTTAATTCAGTGTACGTGTCTAGAGACTAGACAAATAAGGAGGGGAGAAGTCGGCGACCTGCCTGAGTGCGATCATTGCACTTGAGCAGTCAACCCAATCAGTAATTAATATCTTCTATAAGTATGTGCATGAGATTATTTATGTGCAGATTGAGTGTCTCAAAAATGGCGTGTATTCGATTTCTCATCTTAATTTATTGAGCCATAGAATAGCGGTGAATAGGTATAATAAAATAAGCATTTGAGTAAGTTCCGTGCCTACTCGACAATCGAGTCAGAAGGGGCTTCAAGAACTTATTTAAGCGCAATTTATCTAAGAAGTTTAAGTTTGATTTCGAACTAATTATTACGAAAAAAACCACACGTGATCATTCAACAGCTTTAATAAAAAACTAAAACATCGAAATGCGTTTTATTAATTTAAAATACTAAAAAATCTAAAAAGACCGCCCAATCTTAAACCGTTCTGGCCTAGCACCGGCCGCCGCCCGCCGGGCGCCAAGGTTCACGGGAATCGACCCAGAGGCGTCGAATTTTTTTCCTCATTGCTGCGCCGAGTAAACTTGGCGGAGCTGCGGTTGAAGGATGTGTGTCCCATTCTGGAGTGAGTTTGCCGAGTCCACAAGAGTTAGAACCGCAGAATTGGTCAAGAGTTGACACGAGTTTTTCAGGTTCGAGGTTAATATCCTGGCTGGACATTGCGGAGTGACCAGGTAAAATTGAAGGCGGATTTAGTGCTGAATATAAGATGGAGTTTAACTAAATAAATTTTGGACTCTCAAAGGCGAATAAATAAATTGAGTTGGGTGGAAAAACTATTAATAAGACAGAAATAAGCTCTTTGTCATACGTATTATAGCATGTATACGCGCAACTTTGAGTAAAGAAGGGTAAAAAATTAGATAAAAGACATATTACGGTACGCAAAATAACAGCTAAAACTTCTGCATCGAGTCTGACAATTAATCTCACAGCATTCTTCAGTCGAAGTCATGGTAAAAACATTCAATAAATCAATGCAGCAAATTTTTCAGCTTTATGGCATAACTCGCCAATGTTTCTCACATTCATGCCAGATGCAATACAATGTACAGAAGTGCAATGTATTTCTTCGCAGAAGAATTGAGCAAAATCGACGAAGAAGTGATTTTAAAAAATGTAATCGGCAATTGTAACATTTTTTCTCAAGGTGATTCCACACATTTTACAATGTTTATTAGCCGAATAAGTTGAAAGGCAAAAAGTCCAACAAAAATGCATCAAAATTTGCGTTGACGCATTTGCACACAAAATTTGGCTCAATGCACGCTTCCGGATCGTAGTCGACATGTCGACGACGATCAGCCAGTAGATAAGTTGAATACTACAATTGCGAAGTGTTATGTAGCGTGTAAAATAAAGTAACAACGAACTAACCTGAAAGTCTGAGCAAAAAAGTGCATTTACCATCCACCTTATAATTTGACTCAACTGAAAAATTTTTCAGGAGATATATATTTAGATCCATTCCGTAGTGCGGTGTTTAGAATGGTAAGGTACTCTCACTGTGGGGTCTCTCGAACTCAGGCATGTCGAAGTCGCATAGAAACAATCAAGAGTACGAGAGTGTGGCAAGTAACGGCCTGAGTGCAGCAAATCACGGCATGCCGTTACACGCTTTAATCGTCGCAGCGGGGCGAGTAAACAGCACACCACAGTGACAACACACCACAACACCAAACCTCTGTGTGTAGACGCGCGATAAACACAAGGCGATAAACGCTAGCCACCAGTCATGCTCTCATCAGATATACTATATCACAAGCCAGCCTCGTTGTGCCGCTCGATGATGCGATTGTTACGCCTATTCAAATTTTAATTCGGTTGTATTGGCATTTGGCAATGCGCGGAACATTTGTGTGTTTTTCTCTGAAGTTCTGGAGCGTTCTTCTTGTTAACGAAGTTTCAACAATAACGACTAATAACTTTGTTGGGAAACCTTCACCAGAGAAATAATTAATTGATCAGAGATATTTTTATAATTGAAAAAATGTATAAGCATTGCGAATCTGATTTCAACAATTGGTATTGAGATACTCAACAAATGAGGTATATCATCGAATTTTTTAAACGCCAAGTTGTAAATATAGCGCTGCAGTTTAATGCAGACGATGAGAGACGGCCGTTGGATTTACTTCACCTGCCGTCAGCACTCAACAATGTAGTACTCGCCTCTCGACCAGATGTACTGATAGGTAAAAACGACAAGAACTTCACCAATAATAATCACTGAACGAATACCAATAAATCACGTGGTAATTAAATCACCCAATTAATCTATAAACAAACGATGATTATAAATGGGATAGACAGCGGCAATGAACGCAAAATGTCTTGAGCGTGATCGAGTTGCTAATCGATACTTATGGGCAATTCAATGGTAGACAAATAATAAATAATTCAGTGATTCAAACTACTCACGTGTTCAATAGGACTTGCAACAATTAAGTTAGTCGACTCACCTGGCAGAAACGCTGAGACGGAGGCCAACAATGAGATAAGCTTCGCGATAAACATGTTGCAAACTCTCGTCGATATCGTACATTTAATTTTCAATTGCACTTTCACATAAGTACATCGTATTCCACGTCATATTACACGTAACACGAGTATAATGGCTAATACTTTGATGAAATCCGGTTATTAGTGCTTTGTTTGATACTTTATGAAAAAGTATTCTAAAATTATGCATATATTAAATATTTAATAAAGCTACAGTGAGGAATCCTCAACAATATGGAAAAAAGTTGACGTGCACTAAAATTGATAGCAAAAATGATATAGTTCTCTGCAAAAATATAGGTACATTAATAGGATATTTAGAGCCCCCGCAGAAAAAAATACAATTTTGTCGCACATTATACTGTGCCACATCATGCTTCACGCATACTTTTTATTCGATGACATTAAATTGAGAGTATTTATCGTTAGTAAATAAATTAATTTTCACTCGCATACACATACGTAACAGAATTATCAATGTTTGTGATTTGGCATCATTAGTACACATTCAAAGTTGAAAATAATTTGGCTGCCCGTGGGCCACTCAATTTAGTCCAAGGATCGTCAGACAATCCCTACGAGGTCAATCATGTTTTTATTGTTCATTATGTGCAAGCGAGAAATAATACCTCCCGTTTCACTATTTCAATATATAAATTCTCTTACCCCAAGTAATAATTTCCGTTAGTACGCAATTACAGCAGGCCTATTATTGAGCAAACAAAAACCTATCATTTAGCTCTAACTTCTGTAACCTAATTTCTTATAATAAACTTTGCTGATGACTTCAAGATATTACCGTACCTCTATGATAATGCATGATGATTCCATGATACTGCCACTATGATAATGCATGATGAGTCCACGATACTGCCTCCATAAATAGTCATGATACAGCCGGTTGTCAATGAGACCGTCTTTTTTATACATGTGTATAAGTCCATGATACTCCGACTATGGGAGACAGCTTGCCCGCTGCTCTGCCGATGCACAAACGAACCCGCGTGTTCTTGCATCATAAAATTTTGCTGGTGTGGTTTTCCTTCTCGATGCTAACTAATTAATTCTTCATGAAGAAACAGGAAGGTATGAGACAAGACGAGCTTGTTTTTATCGCAAGCAATATGGGGCACACTCGATCGAGTGATGAAAGCTACACGACGTAAATAGTTTCCCTTCAAATGGGGTGTGGAAAGAAAGGTTCTCGGTTATCTCGGTTGCAGCTTCAGGCTTGACTTCATTTATTCAATGGTCGAGAGCCATATTAATGTCGAGCAGGTTCATAAAATAGTGAACATTGATATAATCAGAGTCAACTACAGCTAATCGCGATTATATGCAGGGTAGTTCTGAACCAAAGCAGAGCATTTCAATAAACTATTGATACGAGTTTTGCGCAAGACTTGAACGAGTAGCTCAATTCAAATAATAGTAGTTCAAGCTCAAATTTTATGCAATTCCCACTAGATACGCATAAAAATTACTCAAATAAAATTGAAACAATTGAAAAATATAATCATGCAAGTCTGCATGCGCGAGCAAATTATTCAAGAATACACGTGCAGGTGAAGCAGTTAATTCTTGGTACACCAACTCGCTTGATTCGGGAATGAACAGTGCCATTGATATTGACAAGAACAAGTGAAGCGTATTCTACTTTTTTCGCTAGTTGAAACAGCGGCTTGATGAGTCATATGTACGTCATTGGTATATTATGCGTAAAAAACCTCCAATGAAGAGCGATTTTCTTCGCAAGTAATATATACACGTATTACTTTGTAATTATAACAGGACATTCCCTGACCACTCTTGTACAGTACCCCCCACGAGCGCGGAGTAGTTGAAAAGTTTCGAGTGTCGCACGTTGAAAGCAGCAGAGATTCACTAGACGCTTCGTTGTTCACTCAACTGCTCGGCAAACCAAGTGTTGACTGCACAGGCTGAGTAATGAGCGCTGCTGAGGCTACGAAAGGCCATTTCTCCCGCAACCTCACCAAAGCGAGTCCGCGCCATGAGCGAGAACCCGATGAAACCTAGCAACGTTGTAATGTAAGGAGACTCCTTGTAATGAAACGCGACCTTAATACACTCGACGACACCAAAACATCAGTTGAAATACGCAATTCGGCTGTGTGAGTTTCATGCTAGCTGCAGACAGTCTTTCCATTAGCGTACTAATGGTAATTTCAGAAAGCAATCAAGAGTTCTTCAATAACAGTTATTAATTTCGTGTATTTTTTTGGCCTTTGAGCCTGATCTGATTGTCATAATTACGTATATATACAATAATTTCATTAGACAGGTTCTTTGAATTCGATACCAGGATTATATAATTTGAAGACCACCGTGTAAGACTTTATAAAAGAATAATGTACTGTTTTATATCATTAAATATTATTAAGGTACCTATGCACTCACTCCCATAAAATTATTGAAATAAAAATAAAGGTTCCATCAAAATATCATGTAATTTGCAGCGAAAATACTATAGAGCAAATGCGTTGCCGGACGACTAAAATAATAACATTGAGATTTTTAACTTAATTCAGCAACCCAAGAGCTCAAGACAGAGAAAAAATTCATGTTCCATAGCATCATGAATAACAATGTATGATTAATTTAGGTACAAGGTGTTAAACCATAAATTATGATGTACCCAAACTAAATTAGAAGATTGTTGGAGCCAAACTGAACGAGAAGATTGCTGACGCCAAACTGAACGAGAAAATTGTTGGAGCCAAACTAAACGAGAAGATTGTTGGAGCCAAACTAAACGAGAAGATTTTTGTCGCCAAACTGAACGAGAAGATTGTTGGACCCAAACTGAACGAGAAGATTGTTGGAGCCAAACTGAACGAGAAGATTGTTGGAGCCAAACTGAACGAGAAGATTGTTGGAACCAAACTGAACGAGAAGATTGTTGGAGCCAAACTGAACGTGAAGATTGTTGGAGCAGAACTGAACGAGAAGATTGTTGTCGCCATAATAAATGAGATGATTTTTGGTGCTGACATCAACAAGGCGATTGTCTGCGCTGAATCGTATGCGACTATCTGCACTAAACCAAACAAATAGATCGATGTGGAACAGAACGAGAATATTGTCGGCGCCGAGCCGCACAAAATTTCTGGTGTCAAACCGTACGAGTAGGTACCGAACAGAGGGAAAACTTGGAATAAATCTCCACAGAAATGACGGATTCTATGAATTTATTGAATAATCATCGAATTATTGAACGGGCTTGAAACTTGCAATGGCTGCCTGAACATTTTGCCATGTTAAGTTCCATTTATGCAAAATTCCACGCAAAATACTGTGTCGAGGACGAGCCATAGGCCTCCTCATGGGCGCGCGTGCAGCAACAGCGTGAGGCGCACTGCATGATGCTCGTAACATTAACTTTAATGGCGCCTCCAAACGAGCAAGGGATTACGAGAGCAGCAACCGGTTTGCAGTGGGCGCGTGAGGGCGTCTAACCTCCACCCTCTCATTACCCACACTTAATCAGGACCGACTTAGAAGGATAAAATCATGCCCCGTAATGAAGAGTCAGCATATAAAAATAATCAATACGCGTCGGTGCTTAGTCTGCACAGAATTTGACGGAACGATAAAGATATAGATCAGCAACTCGGTGCAACGTTGAAACTTGTTTAACGTCTTATATCAGAGAAGCTTCAATTCACTAATATCCATATGGCTCGAAAATATTCAATTCATAAAATTCAAATAGAATTTCTGACAAATTGAACACGTCGTGATAATCTCTCAACTAAAGCTCACAGACATCTTGATAAGAAAATACAATGAATAAACCACTTGATAGACCAATTGATAAATTTGCGACATTTATAAGTACCAAGAGTTGGTAAACGCAGGTTTGTCCGTTCTAATGGGACGAATAAAATAGGACAAAATAAAACCGTCAAATTGTAATAAACGGAGCGCAGACGGTAACGATTACATTATCCGCGCTTCCGGACGATGAATTTTCTGACCAGCGCGCTGAATTCAGAGTCAATTTGTAGGGGAGTCGGTACAACGAGATGATCCGCAACTCGCAACGAAGAGAGCCGCAACGCGCAACGAAGTGAGCCGCAACGCGCAACGAAGTGAGCCGCAACGCGGAGTACGGATAAGTGGTCTGTAACGGAAATGTGCACACCTGCTAAGTGTGCAACGTCTCTCACACAGACGTATGGACTTGGACGTCCTTACGTATGAGACACATCAAAGATTGTATTACTTCTAAAACCAGGACTGATGTGTTTCTAATTCTACTGAACTTGAAAATAGTTGCAATATAAAACTTTAAATAACACATTTCTATAGGATATTAATAACAGAACAAAATCACTCATTATAATCGATAACGAGGGAGACTGATTTATGTTATCAAGGAGGAATAAATTATTTGAGATTTGCACGAGATGAGTGACGACCTCGTCTAAACGTATCAAAATCACTACAATACAACACCGTAATCATTATCCCATTATTTGCGTTTCGTGCGAGCATTATTCAAATTTTTTCTCAATAAAATTTGTCATGATTTAGACACGGGATTAATTACGCATCCTCTGAAAATACGCGGCANCTGCGTTTCGTGCGAGCATTATTCAAATTTATTCTCAATAAAATTTGTTAAGATTTAGACAGGGGATTAATTACGCATCCTCTGAAAATATGCGGCAACGAAGTGATGCAAACAAGGCCCACTGTCTTGCAAATCAAGTTTTGCGTCTAATAAATTTATGGTGGAACGAGACAAGGTGGCGTTAAAACTATGACGCATGATCCCCGATTTTTTTTTCTTCATTGCAAATCTCAAAAATTGCTCGTGATGTTCACGCTGAGTCTGTGATGAAAAAATCATAAAAACGCCAGTTTATTTCAGTGAGCCTTCATATTTTCTACACTAAATGGTAATCAAATTTATTACAATATTACCTGTTGCGTCCATTTAAAGTGAAAGCAAATTCGCCCCGTTGATTGCAAGTGTAACTTTTCGACGAGTTAGACTTATTTTATGCTAAGATATCTTCAATGAATAACAAACTCCTAACAGTAACATGATAGAAACAAAGATATTGGGCAATATAACCTTAAAATATGGACAAGAATTCAAATATTCATGAGTTACGTCGACGCTCTGGAGAATTATTTATGTGAACTCCGCGTACGAGGTACCTAATAGAGATGCGCGAATTTTGGCCTGCGTTTGGACGGATTGGTTAGGAAAACGAATATAAAATTATTCATTCATATTATATATTCATATATATATATAATATTCATATATATATAATATTCATATATATATTATATATTTATATACCTATTCATATTATTGAATAGAATGAAGTTATTGGCTGGAATAAATTTATTGACAGGACGATTCACTTCACTAAACGGCACTCAACTGTGAGTATTCGATTCCAAACTGAACGTTTCAATTAATTACGGTGAAATTTGTGCGTGTTGAATTGATGTTGACAGAGGAAAAAAATTATAATAAATCAACAGCTGAAACAGCCCTCATTGTCAGAGAAATCGATAGGCTTCGATTAAGCACTAAAAGCGTGTCAATTACGGTAGCCACACTAATTAACTAAAAATATAACTCGGTACTCACTGCAGTGAGTGCATGACAGCGCGAATTTTCTCGTCGACAGACGAGACAGACAAAATGCGGACAGACAGACGGACATGAGCACAATTGCGCCCTGTTTTCCATAAATGAGAAAATGCGCTAAAAACGGCCAAATAGTTAAAACCAAAGAATTGTTTACACACCAAATAAAGATAAGCTAAACGTACGCCTAAACCTCAAGCGTTACCGAAGAACCGAAATGATATATACAAACCACGGAAATTCAATAAGTACTGTATATATGCAGAGCTGGGCAGCGCTACTTTGAAATGTAGCGGCCGCTATCGCTACCGCTACATGCTCTAAATGTAGCGGGCGCTACCGCTACAATTGTTTAAATGTAGCGACGCTACCGCTACTGAAAATGTAGCGGCCGCTACATGTAGCGCGCTAAATACTCAACTGCCCGCCTCTGGCAACAACTAACATGTTGACGCTAGTATATCACGCTGAGGTTGACAACATTACACCAAAATCTTTCGTACAGTTTTATTCTGTAATTTATATTATGTATGTATTATGCTGGTTTTTAAATAATATTTAATACTATTAAGTAAATCTAGAGGCTTTATCTATAAATGTAGCGGTAGCGCTGTAGCGGCAAATCCTCATATCGCTACTTAAATATGTAGCGGGCGCCACCGCTACCGCTACAATTGCTTAAATGTAGCGCCGCTACCGCTACTGAAAATGTAGCGGCCGCTGCATGTGGCGCGCTACTGCCCACCTCTGTTAATACATGTGACATACGAGAACGAATTCTTAATCCCATACTCAATGACTATAAGAAGACATGCACATGGTATTATGATTATTATGATTGTCGTCACTAAATAACTGCATTGAAAGTTATATAATGAGCCAATAAATAGACTCGTATTGTGGTTAAGAACCACAAAACCACCGATACGGTCCATGGTTTACCACTCTTGTGACCAACGGCACGCAGCATATAGCATTGAGAATCTCGACGAGTTAGACTTATTTTATGCTAAGATATCTTCAACGAATAACAAACTCCTAACAGTAACATGCTAGAAACAAAGATATTGGGCAATATAACTTTAAAATATGGACAGGCATTCAAATATTCATGAGTTGCGTCGATGCACTGGAGAATTATTTATGTGAACTCTGCGTTACGAGGTAATCGAGATGCGGGAGCTTTGGCCTGCGTTAGGTCAGATTTGTTACGAAAACGAATAAGCAGTTTTTCATTAGAATAAAGTTATGGACTAGAATGAAGTTATTGACAGGAAAGAAGATATTGACAGGAATGAAGTTATTGACTAGAATAGATTTAATGACTAGATGATTCACAAGAAACGGCTCTCAAGTTTGAGTATTCGATTCCTAACTGAACGTTTCAATTATTTACAGTGAAATTTTTGAGTGTTGAATTGATGTTGACAGAGGAAAAAATTTCCAGAAATCAACAGTTGAACCTGCCTTTATTGTCAGCGAAAACAATCGGCTTCGATTAAGCATCTAATTGCGAGTCAATTACGGTAGTCCCACTATATATACATTGGAGGTTTTGTCACGAGAAAACTTTGTTGACATTAAATGCAGCCATATAATTAACTAAAAACGGTCGAATAGTTCAAATCAAAGAATTATTTACACACAAAATAAAATATACAAGGTCATCGTACGCTTACACCTCACGAGTTACCGAAGAGCCGAAGTGATATATACAAACCACGGAAATTCAATAAATACTGTATATTTGGGATGAACAAGAACGAATTCTTAATCCCATAATCAATGACTATATGAACACATGCAGATGGTATTATGATATGATGATTGTCGCCAGTGAATAACTTCATTGAAAGTAACAATGAGCCAATATACTCGTATTGTGGTTAAGAACCACAAAACCACCGATGCGGTCGATGGTTTACCACTCTTGTGACCAACGGCACGCAGCATATAGCATTGAGAATCGCCACTATATTGACACAATCGAGGAGTTATGGCCTCGAGAAGCTTCGTTTAGACTTCACCAGCCATATCTTCAATTTGAAAGGGAGACCTCGTGCGATAAGGTTAACTCCACCCGCCATTGAGAGCGATGTGGTACAGCTGGTCGAGATAAACTCGTTCGCAAGAAAACGCCGCCGGTATTGTGCCTTTTGCACGTGGAGATATTGCGACTAATATCTGACTGAATATCTGAGCATATAAATACGTTATATATGAAACAAGGTGGGAGCATCAGTTTCTTTACTAATAGACGAGTTGTCATTCCCTGGAAATGTTTAAAAATGAGAGGAATCAAGTTGTATTACTGCCGGAAAAGTAAACAATAATGTCGGTGCATCGTGAAAGAATTTTTCTTTCTAGATGGCATCGAACAGAATATCATCACAGAACATAATTATGTAACGTCCGGGGGTTTGATTAATATATAAATTCT